GGCACGTGGTGCCCAGCCCGGGCTGGTCACAGGGGCCAGAGCAGTGTCCGGGTCCCCTGTGCCCTCCCGTCTTCACCAGCCACCTCATGCTGCCGGTGCTGCCAGCTCACAGCCGCCACGCAGGTCCCTCCGGTGCCACCGGAGCCCTCCGGGACACGCATCCTGTCGGGAGCAGCGCGCAGCTCCCTGGGGCTTCTCGCCAAGCCCTGATCCCCTCTGAAAACGAATTATTATCAGCCCAGACAGAAAAGTTAATACCTTTAATATCTCCCCGTCCCTCCGGATGCATGGAAATCCCATATACTTATCACTTTCCTTTAATCCATCTTAGCAGGGGAACTGAGGGAAATACCCAGCATAAGGGTTTAACAAGCCCGGGTCTCCCGACGGGGTTCCCAGAATGGCTCCTGCACCCCCGTTTGCCTGGGATACCGGCACCAGCAGCCGCATGGGCTCCGTGCTGGAGAGCAGAGGGAATCCCAGGCCGCGGAACAGCTCCGGTGGTCGAGGACTGCGGGAAGATCAGGAGGGTCCGGCGCTGCCCGGTGCCAGCTGCTCCTCGGCACATGGCGAAGGGCGCATCCGTGCTCCTGCCGCAGCAGCGCTGGGGCCGTTAGGTCCAGCCATTAACCAACACTTGCCCACGTGTTCCCTGGCCGTCACCCAGGATCCGGCATTTGCTCCGCAGCATTCCTGATGGCAGGAGCGAAGGCCAAAGGCAGAGGGTCCTGGCAGACGCCGCACCACCCCTCCATGGGACCCGGCGGCGCTGACCGAGCGTGCGGAGCAGAGGTGGGGTTGACGGCCTGAGGGCTCCTGCCATGTCCAAATTACTCTGAACACAATTAAAATCCACTCCCACAGACGGGAATTTGGCAGATGAGCGGAGAAGAGGCTTGATTGAATCAAGCGCCTGCTTTCTTTCAGATTTTAATTGGGAAGCGTATGTATTAATTAACCCCAGGGCTCAGCCGCCTCAAAGTGCATCCAGAGGACAGCAGGTCCTGCTGATGGACCTGCCGGCCCCGCAGCAGCCCCTGCCCCAGGAGCCCCCTCCCACAGCATCCCTGGGGACCACAGACCCCACAGCTGTCTCCAGGGCCCCGACTCCCTCCCCACACCCAACCATTCCACCCCCCCTGTTTCCCAATCCCATCCCCATGCCCGGCCCTTCCCCACTTCCCCGGCACAGCAGTTGTGAGTGACAAGCTGAAAACTCCTAACAGACAGTCCTTAAACCATCCCATGAAAGAGGGATGGACGGATGGACAATAAGGTCTGACAGCAGGAGGGAAGGTGAGGCCAGTCCCTCCCTCCCTGCACATCCCGGCCCTTCATCCCCCTCCTCTGCCTCACTGCCCTCCCCCTCCATCCCAGCTCCCGCCCCATGGTCCTTCTGTGGGGAGGGCGCTCCAGGACCCCTGTGCCAAGGGACACCCCCGCAGCTTGTGTCCGTGGGCGCTGGGCTGTGCTCGCCTCCCCCCGGCCCCAGCCGTCACCCCGGGACACCCCAGCCAAGGGGCAGACAGTGGCCAGCATGGTCCCCAACCCCAGAATTGCATTAGGGCAGTCCCCACATGGCACCACGAGAGCGGGATGCGGTGGATGGCCCGGGAGAGGTGCCAAGAGCACAGGCTCAGGCCAGGACAGCTCGTCCCCCACCTCCCGGGGGGATTTCCACTTCCCAAGTACGGATGAGTTTCGAGTGAGTAAGACCCAGCGAGCAAGACTGCCTGGGGCTGGAAGCACATAGGTCACCTCCTCGCTGCTTTTCAGCTGGGAACCGTCATTTGATGCATTACAGCGAAAAGCAATAAAGGCTTCTAATAACTGCAGGTAACCACATCGCGGGCAGAAGACCCGGAGCCTGGGAAGGGGGTGGCAAGATAGGGACAGATGGATTTGCGAAGGAGAAAGTGGCAGAGACAGACAGACAAACTTCGGGTGAGGGGTCAGTAACAGAAAGGAGATACCCAGGGGATGGTTCATCTCTCCTGCCCACACTAAAACATAAGTGGGGTCTGATGGAGGGGGACGGCAGGTCCTGGGGAGGGGGGAGCACCCGGGAGAGCCAGGGCTGAGCCGCCGGGGAAGGAGCACCTTGGTGAGCAAGGAGGAGGCAGAGGCATCTATCTCAGAGCTCGGTGTTTGCAGGAACAAATGACCGGTGTCATCAAATCTCTCGGTCTATCCTTTGCACAGGCCGGGGCAGGTGGTCGGTACCGGGTGGGCCACAGTGTCAGACCCCACCGAGGAAGCCAAGAGCTCAGATGTTTGCAGAGAGACTGAACTACAGCGTTTAACTGTGCTCGTGCAGCGGCACCGGCTCCGTGGCCAGCTCAGCCCCGCGCAGGCTGTGGCCGGAGCCCCGGCACGGCCATGCTCAGTGACCGGCCACCTGAGCGGCGGCCGACACGACCCCCCCACCCCGAGTGGGCGGCAGACGCCGAAGCAAAGGGCAGGAGGGCCAGACACGCAGCTGCTGGGCAAGGTAAAATAAAGAACTGCTTTAATCAGGGCTGTTGCGTCCCTGCTCTCTGCTCAGGCAGTTCCCAGGCAGCTGGCACCGGTGCTTCGGAACAGCCTCTGGCAGTGATGGGCAGTTTGGGGACCCTCAGAAAGGGGGGTCATGGCAGTGGTGGTGGGGCAGAAGGGCAGCGTATGTCCGAAAACCCCCATCAGACCCCAGCCCGGTGCCACCATGGGGCAATCGGGAGGGGGATACCTTTGGGGAGGGACAGAGGGGCCGGTCCCCATCCCTCCAGCGGCACCGTGTGTGCTCCCCGATGGACATCAGGGACCTCAGCTGCCCGGCCAGAGGCACAGGTCTCACTGCACCCACCACCCCCAGCCCTGCCCCAGTGCAGGGACCTGGGCAGACGCGGGCTGGGGCCCCCCCTGGGC